ATCAGCATCTATTTCTCCACCAAATAGAGAAGCTCAACCCAGATGCCTGCGGACTTCTCAAAGCTTCAGCCTGAGGCCTAATCACATCAGCAATATGAAAACATACCAATTGTGTTTTAACGAACACAAGTAGTGTTTCCCAGAATGGATTTACTGTCCTCCAGGAAGAGAAATTTGAATAATTTAGCATGATCGATAATAAATTTTACTTTTAAAGTGTGACTTCTGTTGTGTAGAAAAACTATGTTTAAGACCTTGGAGTAATCTGCTGAGGGAATTTGACTGCTGACATCTGGAAGTAGATCTAAAGTTAAGGAAGTGTTTGTGTTTCCATGTTTTTCCACCGAAGCGTTATTCATTTATTTATTATAACATTTTGAGATCCATTTAGTCTAAATGGTTTTATCTGAGGACAAGCTCATGATGGCTTTTAGTACAGTTAATTACACCATATAATTAACACCGTGTTTCATTTCAAGGCTTAAACTCAGGTTCCTGTTGGAGAACATAAATCTGCACACTCCTGACATGTAGCTTTCCCACGGTGGCAGACTGTCCCTTTCAAAGAGTCCCTTCCTTTGCATGAGTGTCCTCAGTGCATGAGCCCAAACAGGTCCGCCATCCCATCCACGTGCTGACTAGTTCCTTTCTCAGAAAATTCTCCTTCAGATTGGGGAAGGTCATGAAGCCCTTAATAGCTTTGGTCCCAGCAATGACCTTGACAAAGGTATCAGAAAAAGTCTGGGCATGGAAATTGCCGAAGGGGCAAACAACGGCCAACTAAATAATCAATCAGATTTTGCATGGTAAATCTGAACACTTGCTTGGCGATTAGTCACAAGTTTCCTAAAAACACTGTAAAGAACATCTGGTCTGAAGGAGTTCGAGGGATGACTTTGGCCACAGCCAACTGCCACCTCACTTTGCCACAAGATGATCAAAGCATTCGAACATATCTCAGCAATGCGAGCAATATACGCACAGGAAAATGCATCAGGTTCCTACAAGGACCATTTTGCATAGCAAATGCTATAAAAATCATGGATACAAGAGCAGAAAGATGAGCAATTCCTACATAGTAAATTTGCATGTCTACTGACTTGTGTTCAGAATGCTAAAATCACTGCAGATTTTTTTCATTTTATTTCCACTTTGTTACAGAGATAACAACTTTAATCTTCATGAAAACCTTCTAACGATAATAAATAAAGAGATTTTTGTTTACAGCTCCATCATAGAAAACACTCCATCTTTTTTTCACTTGAAAGCTTAAAAGTCACTTTCTTTATAACCAAAGAAGAACGAGATGGAAGTTGCAGTAGGAATACAAATCCAACAAACAAACAATAAAAAGTTGTAAGAATTTATTTATTGCAAAGTTGTCTGGGTTTTTGTTTTTTGGTGTTTTTTTGGGGGGGGGGGGTTGTTTGTTTTCAATAGGTCCTAAAATCATAAACCTTTAAAATAGTGGAAGATCTCGGAACAGATCTAGTCTGGATCCACTGCTTCATTTTACAGATGAAGAATGTGAGGCCAGCAGAGATAAAGTGGCTCCCCAGACCACCCACACAGGGAGTGAAAGTGGTAGGACCGGACCTGGCGTTCACTTCTCCCAGTGCCCAGCCCGGGCGTCCGACCACACCTTCCCAGCGTCCTCGATAGCTGTGTCTCTGCTGGCATTGGTTCCCTCATAGGTCATTAGAGTGCCAAAACGCCCACGTGCCCTGAATTACCCCTTTAGAGATATCGAGATACCTTGCATGATTTGTTTAATCCTCACAAACTTCTTTTTACCTAATTTTCCTACTTGACGAATCTCTCGTTCTCTTTCTGCCATTTACATTGCAAACTATTAACATTATACTGCTTTCATTCAGTAAGTAATCACCAAGCACCTAATGGGTGTCAGGCACTGAGCGAGGCATTAAGAAATCAAAGGTGAACACAACATGAGTCCTGCCTCCTGCGCACTGTCAGCCTGGTGTCATGGTGTGTGTGTGATGAGGGTTGTGACAGGGGACACAAATTGCCATGAGGGCCCTAAGGAGAGACGGCTCGCTTACAGTAGAAATCTCAGTGAGGTCTCCTCAAAGACAGTGACATCTAAGTAAGCCACGCTAAACGTGAGTCCTAATGAGAAGTAGGAGTTACCTGGGCAAAAATGTGTGCCAGAGAGAAGTGACACGACTCGGGGACTGCAAGCAGTCCCAAATGAATGGAGACGCGGGAGGCTGTGAGGAGGGCCAGTCTGCTCGCTTCTCTGCACTTGCAACTAGCCGGCCACTGGCCCCTGCATAGATTTCCAAAGTTTTAACGCATCCAAGCCAGTGGTCGTCAAACTTTTTGTCCGTAGACTGTCTGCGTGAGATAAACGCCCTGTGGATAAGCTGCCATCTGTCACTTTGCCCGGGACAGTCCTGGTTAATGTCTGTTGTCCTGACATTAACAATAGGGCCCCTTTCACTTTTAAACATGTTGTGTTTTGAACAATATATATTCACTCTACCTACAGACTATCTGCCACAATCTTCTATACACACATGGCTATGTGCATAGTTTTTTCATCCCCCTAAAATTTTTTTCGCTGTGTCAGGTTATTGTGAATATCATTCAGCCTAACCTGCCTCATATTACAGATGAGGAAAAATATGCTGCAAAAAATCTCTTAAGTATTTGGTGTAGCCAGTGCTTAGGGCAATGAATTGAGAAACCTTGCCTAGTACAATAATTATAATGGAATAACTATAATAGAATGCCTAAAAACTTCATGAGAAAAAAACAGCCAGATCGAGAAAATCGAAGATCTTATAGTTTCCACAGTGTGAAAGAATATCATGAGGATTAGATAAAGTGATAAAATGACTAACCATATATAGAAAGTATGTCATTAGCAGGAAGGGACAGCACAGCCATCAGTAATGAGGTCAACTGCCTAATTTCCAAAGGCAGGAGAGCCTCTGCTTCTCTCAAATATTCTGAGGCGTCATATCTGCTCCAGCGTGTTAAGGAACTTGATCTTGACCCCTGGGCAGTCCCACTGCTGCCTAACAGTAAACCAGAGCCAGCCCGGCCACACTAGAAGGACCAAACTTGCTGAAGCTGCATACTCTCAGTCAGCCCACAGCACAGAGGGATTGAAGTGGCAGGAATCAAGGCGTTAGGAAGCAAAGATTTAAACCTGCTGAGTCATTCACTACGAAGAATCCTTTCTTCAGGCGGCCTTCCATCTCTTCGCCCATCAAGGAACCCAGCAAACACTTGCACCTACAGATGGGGACCGAGGTTTGAGACCCACCTGAATCTATTCAAAACCTTGTAAGTGACATAGGAGATCACAGACCACCCATGATGTCATAGAAATGCCCGCCAGCTGTGAGCTTGAACGCTGGAATTCTACTTATCATGCCACTTATAAGTGGATACCATGTCATCTCCATGCCACTGCTCCTCATCTACGAAACGAAGGGCTGAGCTGAAAAACGTCTAACACCCCTCAGTTCTGAATCTGAGCCTAATCTGATAGTCTAGGAAACAGCCTATCATGTTAACTTGATCTTTGATACGCTTAAACGAAGCCATAAAAAACGGTAGCATCTATGAGAAAGAGACTATGAGCCAACCTGATCGAAAAATTGTCCAAAAATACGTATTTGAAAACTGTTACTTTTTTCAAGTATCCCGAAACCCAGAAACAGGGAGAAAAAATACTTTCTGCCTAGAAGAATGTGGTTGCAAGTAAGTGAATACTGACTGGATGCTTAAAAATGCCAAAAAAAAAAAAAAAAAAAAAAAAAGAGCAATTCTGAAGTCTGACTCAACCCGGGAAGGTGAGCCAGACACTCAAACGCATTTCCCCTTTCTTCAGGTTTTGAGTGCCACGCCCTTTCCGAAACGAGCGTTGCAGAATTCATTCTCAACTCCAAGATCGTACTGAAAATGCGCTCAAAATTACTTTCTCCTTTCGAATCCCGATCGCGTCCCACCACCCCTCAAACCTTCTAGCCCTGTTATCACTGCATGCTTTTACCTTGTATGGCTAAGGGATTTCGCTCCTTTTTTTTACGGCATCCTCTTTCTGAAGCACTGGGCCACAGTGCTGAAGCCACAGCCTAGCCTGAAAACAAGCCATTAGTCGACTTTGCTCGCCATCTCGAATCATTTCCGACGCCTCTTTTGTTATAAGAATTGCCCCCAAAAAGGAAAATCGCCGGCCCTGCTACTCCCACTTTGCTTACCTGAGTTACGGTTAGTTATTCTGGAAAACACCGGTGAGGGACAGGGAAAGCGTGGCGCAGAAGGACCTGGCGGAGGCAGCTGTGTGGGGCAGGGCAGCCAGCTCGCTCACCTGCCCCCCGGGGGCCGCTCCCCCTGGGACCGCTCCCAGTCCGCAGTCCCTGTCCCTCCCACTTTGATACTGTCAGCCCTGACTCATGTTTCTTGGCAGCTTGTCCATAATTTAAAAAGATTTTTCAGGCTGAAGAAGTTGCTGTTGTCTGCACAGCTTCGAATGGCCTCTGACGTGCTCAGGCAGGAGGGGGCTGTGTAAATCCTGCCTTGGGCTAAATACATACCTAAGGGTGACCCCAGTAGCCCAGGTGGGACCGGAGGAACCATATGAAGTACTACATAAAATAGAATACGTGATGGCCATGACAATCCATACTTTTCAGATATGGTGGTGCCACAAAAAAAAAACAAAAAACAAACAAACAAACAAAAAATCACCCTAATCTCCATCTTTTTCATGTAATTTACAGTAGCTCATTCTGCTGGGTGCCAAAGAGGTAGTAGCTACCTATTAAACAGAAGAAAGAAGAGGACATACCAAATAAATTATACTTGGCAAAACACATCATACCAAAGTGATAGAAGAAATTTTTCGATGGCGTTGCCAGTAAAATATGGTGATTAGGATTACACAGCTCTGCCCTGAAATCTCTGTGGAGCCTGCTCTTTGCATATGCCGGTTTCCTGCCTCCTGCAGCTCCTGTTCTCAGGAAAGGAGCTGAAACTGAGCCAGTCGCTTCTCTGCTGTGTTCACCTAATATTCTCGATGGCTCATGTACCATGTTTCATAATGATCTACTTGTTGTACAGTCTCTTCCACCTGATATGAGACTCTCGAAGGTAAGGACCAAGCCTCATTCACTTTCACGAACACTTGGCATGGATTTGACAGACAGTACACAGTCAATAAGTGTTCGTTGACTAAATGAATGACAGCCACTCGTTTTGCTATACTAAGATTGACTAACAGCTCTCCTTCCCCCTAGGTCCTGGGTATTTTCATGATTAACCAGGATCGAAGTCATAAACTAAATGAGCTGAACTCCGAAAGTAGAATTTCAGGCATCAATGGAGCAAGTGGAGGCAAGGAGTTCATAAAAGAGGTGATGTGGGAACGATACCTCTCAAAAATCACAGCATCCCGCTGTAGCAGGAGAAGTGAATGCAGGGGCCGAGTCGTCAGTTTGGAAACTGACTCTACCACTCATGTCTTGATAACTCCTAGACAAAGTGTTTAACCTCTCTAGCCTCAGTTGGCTCATCTGTAAAATGAGACACATACCTACATGAGGAGACAATTCGTATGAAGTGTCTGGCACATAGCATGTGCTCCCTCCCTCATAAATGTGGTGATTATCACCACTTTGTCTAGTCCTCAGGTGGCACAGGCTCAGAGAACACCAAAATGGCCAAAGGCTGAGGCAGGATATTCACACTAAGTCACGAACATCATTTATTGAACACTTGCTTCATACCTGCTACCGTGACCCAAAGCTTTTAAGAAACTTGCGCTTAAATCAGAGAGCTTTGTCCAGCTCCATTTGGATGGCTGAATTCCCTCTACAGCCCTCCTGTTCAGTGCTGTACAGAAACACCCAGCGACAGGAATTCAGCAATGCCCAAGGAAGCACACACATTATTCTGACTGTTGGAAATAAACGTTTCTTTAAAAATTCTTAGTGGGACATAGTATGTAGGAAGAAAGAAGCATTCGCTCTATAATTTCAAAACTAATCTATAATTTTCTTCTCTCTCTTTTATTTGCCACATAAACTATATTATTGACTATCTATTAAAAAGAGTAGGGTTTTTTCGGGGGGAGGGAGGAAATGTAGCTTAAAGAATGAATTATCCATTTATTCATTATACGATTTTGTCAAACAGTAATTTCATCTAACTTAACAAAAGTAATCGTCAGCCCAAATATTTGATAACCTAGGAGACTGTTTTGTTCGTGCTTTTTCTTACCTATAGGTTGAAACGTCGCAAACATTATAAGTTGATTACTCAGCATTCTGGCTGAGGGATGGCTTGACACACCCAGCCACTCCCAGGAACAACTCACAGGAGCTTTGTTAGAGCATGCTTAGAACCATTCATGTTCTCTCCTCTCTCTCTCTCTCTCTCTCTCTCTCTCTCTCTCTCTCTCTCTCTCTCTCTCTATCTCTCTCATAAGATATATTTTAGCACAAATTCTTGAGCACTCTCCCCAGATAACCTGCAAATCATCAAGTGTAATAAGTATAATTCCCTCTGATTCATGTGACAGCTCCCCATACAACTCAGGGATTTCCAACAATTCACAGAAATCGCACAATTAAAAACTCCCACTTAGTTGCTGAGGACTATTATCTTTTTTCTACATGTGGAGAAACTGAATCAGGAAAGAAAAGGCAACTTTACACAGGAAAAAAAAAAATGTTTTCAAAACCTCAGATTTATAATTCTTTCTCTAACTATGTCCATTTCAAGAATCCAACAGCCTAACATGCTGTCATGTTTTTGGTCTCATCAATTTCTAGTGTTTGAGAAATGCAACATTCTGTCTGAAGGAATTTTACAGTAAGTGATAAAACCTGTTATGGACAATAACTTACATAACATTTTCTACTAAGAAACAAACTTAAGGGGAAAAAAGACTAAGACAACTAAAAAAAAAAAAAAACAGGGAAAAATATAAAAAGTAAAGCAGAGCAGCAGAGGAAAACCGCAGACAACCAAATAGCATTAGTGACACAATTTGCCTTTAAAATCCTTACTACTGAGTGTAAAGGCACATAATAATGTAAATTAGTCAACTGTTCTCAAAAGTAATTTGACAATATGTTATCTTTTTAATATTTGACCCAACGATACAGTTTTCAGAAATCTTTTTTAAGGAAATAATTGCAGATAAAGTCAATGATTGAAGTACAGAAATGTCCGTGGTAATATAGTTATGACAGAAAAAGTAGAAACCAGCTGAATGTCCATCAATAAAGACACATAGTTTCAAAGAGTAATGCTTACAAGATTAAGTTGTGTAACAGTAGGTTAAAAATATGTGTGTATGTATATTTAGAGACTTGTTTCTTGCTGTAGTGCACTTAAGGGTTGTTTGGTTTTGTATTAAAAATTGCGTATGTGTATGTGTGTATCCTTAGAAGACTTAAAGGAAATGCATAAAATAACATTAACAATAGTTATTTCTGGCTGGTGAAATGAAAGGTGATTTAAAATTTTTTTGATAGTGTTTGCTGTATCTTCCAAATTTTCTACAGTTATCGCATATCATTCCTTATAATTAGAAAATTCGGTTTCTTGACAAGTTACTTTCAAAAAGTGGTCTGCCACAACTGAGACTTTCTTTACACAATAAATCTCTAGTTATAGTCAATTACTGCCTGTGCTGTACAACAGATACCTGCTATTTCAGTAGCTAATAAAGAGCTACCCAGCTCAAAAAAAAAAAAAAAAATTATGTCTCTTACAAAGTGTAAATTACAGAGTGTCCCTTGCTGAGGTCTAGGACCTTGCAGCGACCCAGCAGAAGCTGGGTCACGGCCAAGACAGCAACCAGCCCCGCCCCCTCCCAGGATGGGCCAGGCCAGGAGGACAGGAGCTGGAGGCGGTGCTGGAAGGCGGGAGCACTTCCAGGAGGATCCCCGCCCGGGGAGGGGGCACATGCGGGAACACGCCTGACCCCTTTTTCCCCGCCTCCCGCTCCTCCTTCCACATGCTGACTCAGTGTCTGCCTCCATCTCTGCCTGGCCACATGATGCAACCACGGTGTGTCAAGGAGAAGCCAATGCTCAGCTCTAAAGGAAACTCGACTGTCACCAAGTCCAATCCCCTCATTTCCAAACAGTGAAACTTAAGCCCCAGTGCCTGCCTGGTACGAGCACTTTCAAAAGTGATGTAAGACCTTCTACTACATGCTTCGTAATAACCATTTTACATAAGGAACAGTGAAACTTAAGCCCCAGTGCCTGCCTGGTACAAGCACTTTCAAAAGTGATATAAGACCTTCTACTACATGGGAGAGACAGAAAACTACAGAGGCACCGGGCTAGTGGGTAATGATGTTGATAATGATGGAACCAGATTCTGTGTTTAAACCAAGATAGTGCTCTAAACCAGTACATTATACTGCCGTATTAAACACCCAACTTTTGTGTTTAATCTGAGCTTTAATGTACCCATTTCATGTGGATTATGGAATATAAAACGTGCTCCTCCCTCTATCAAGCGTTAGTTCTATGCGATGACAGGACCGGTGACAGAGGGAATGTAGGAATTTACACATCTCACAAGCACGAAGTCAACTGGCTTCACCTGGAAAGGAAGGACATTTTCAAGACGACTTCCGAGGAATTTGGGGGTAGAGGGACAAATGTATGAATCGATCTGTGCTACGCATGCAAGACACCGAACCAGGCTCTTCAGTTCTCAGAAGAGAACTCTAAATTCTGGTCTCTGCCTCCTAAGATGGAATCTAAAGGTGGTACTTTCGATCCAGTTGCTCGTTTCCCCCAGACCTGGAGGACTCCGGGGTTTGCTTGTTGCAGCTCCAGGTCTTCCCCGTGTGGAAACTTGAGCCCAGATATTTCTTCACTCGGCCCCGTCTGTACTCACTCCCTTCGTTCACACCCACGTATCATGTCGTCTGAGCCTGGTGCCTCCCTAGACCCTCGGGGACCCCGTGTTATTCATCAGCACATCCCCACTTCCCCGCCTAGACCTCACACAGTGCTTTACACACTAAATATTAAATAAACATGTCTTAACTTTGTAAAACGACACACAAGTAGATTTCTAGCAGCGGAAAGCAGTAAGTTATTTGTAGCGACGGGCCAGCACAGCCAATGATTGTTATGGGGTCAGGTGTCCACTTCTAAGACAGAGTGTTGCCATTTTAATATTTTAAAACATAAAGAATTAGAAATTGTAGTAGGTAAATCAACATGTTTTTTTTTTTTAAATCCAATTAGATCAAAACACTTACCCTGCTGGTTCTTTCACAGCATCGTGCATCAGAATATGGGGGCAGT